AGTGATGATGGCCAGGAGGGAGAAGAAATACCACTAGAGGGGCGAATCGAAACAGTGTCGCTAAAGTGGCTGTCTACTGCTCCCATTCTCGGAACGGAACCAGAAGAAGGAATTGGCGAAAACCTTTGAAATGTTGTGCACGCAGTTGGAGAAAGTGACGTTGAGGGCTTAAGTGAACATGATGAAAAAATGCAGAGTGAATCTTACCTCAGAACTGTCTGTGGTCAGAGAAGATTGTTTATTCAACTTTGATGAAAAGTTGGAAGTTGTAGTTGAAGATGCGTTAGATGTCTTCCGCTCAAGTCCAATAAAAGCAGCTAAGTAGGCAATCTTTAAAAACATGTAATGGTGGGTCTTACATGAATATGAATCCAGGGAACTCTTTTTCGTATACTTTCCAGAAACATTGCTTAAACCGGGCAATTTTTCGAACTTCTTCTGCATCATTTTCCATTCACTCAGGTTGTGTGGTGAACTCGATGATCGGAGCAAATCGAACAACGGGTCGAATAAGATATCACAATTGGTTGAAGAAGCTGCAACCATAGAAAAAAAACTGATTGCATATATATATGGTACAATGAAGCTAAATTCGCTATCTGCAGCCAAACTCATTAATGTGAATATGTATGAGCCCATTCTGAGGGAGGGAAAAGAAAGTTAACCTTTTATCAACACGGAGTACGCAACGAAGCTGTGCATAAACACATTATCAAGCATTCTGACCTGGAAAGAAATGACAACAAGAACACCACTATTGTCGGTTTACTGTAAGACTCTTTAGTCTCCAGCAAACCAATTGCAATCTTTTGGACTCTACCTAATCTCCATGTGCATTTTCTCATGTTTCGCCTCCATGTCGTTTGTTGACCTCCCCGTGGTTTCTTCCAGCCCGAGGTGACTACAGCAAATAAGACATGATGCGGTAGGCGACAGCTGGGTATTCGCAATGTGTCCTAAACATCTAAACCCACTCATTGGAATTCGATGGACGAAAACATTTATCTCCTATAAACTCCCACACACGACGGATTATTAGCCCGTTCTCACCATCTTACTTGAACCAAAATACGTAAGCATTGATTATCAAAAGCTTCTGGTCGATGCATATTTTTTGGCAAATCCAAGGTCTAATAACCGCAAAGCAGAACTGAACGAACGGTAGCACAATACACACGAGCTTTCAATTGCAGCGAAACTTCGCGTCTACGCCACAGGTGTTTCCGTTGTGCACGCTACTCGTGCCTTGGAAATGCGTGGAGTTACCTCCTTTGTTGCGCTACCATCATTGGTCAAGTAACTAGCTAAGTAGTTCTAAGCAGTCCACTGTAAAGAATTCCTGGCCGTCAAGCTTCACGGTAGGAGGCATCAGAGTCGCAATGGAAGGAACTGAAACCTGGAGCACTAGTTTGCACTATGACGGTGCAGATCGTATTCCAAATGGAGTTACATAACTTAAAAGTCCTTCAAGGATGCATTCGGTCATCCTCCATACATTCGAACGGATGTCGTCAGTGTAGTGTAAATCGCACAGTTTTCCTCTGGTTGCCCATTCAACATAAACATTTGGAGATCACTTAGTGCACTCTGCAGTACGATGAAAGTGAATAGGAATGGCAAAGTAGGGCATACTAGATGAACTCCTGATTTCGAACGATTGCTCCATCGATTGAAACCCATAACCTGGACGAATGGAAGACCGGACTTCGTTTGATCCCTACCTTTTGACTTTTCAGGTATCATTAAATATTCGGCTTGATAAAAGCCATCCGGTGTATTTCATTGGTTTAGAGGTGCACACACTATCACACCACACCCATGTACAATCTCTTTGTGATATATATACTCCGCTGTAGGCACTTTATGCCTTGTCTAACATCATCTCCACTTGATTTTTACCATCCCGCAGCATGCAAATAAGGCGCTGCACAACAAACAACTGCTTGGAATGCGTAATACGCTTCCTAACCAGCGATTTTTTTCATTCGGATTCAATGTCAATAATACATTTCCAAACACGTCGAACTATCTCGATGTCGATGATACGTTCGCTCCATTCAATCTATATCTAACTATAA